ATGTAGAAATTCATACTTTGAAAGAAAATTTTAAAAGTTTTGAATTTTAATAGGTTTACAACAACAGTCATAATATTGTAATGGATTATTAAAGAAAGGTCGTGTTATTTATTTTAGTTTTATTTTTTGCATAACATTATTAGGACATTGAATCCAGAATGGGCTGTTCAACCGTCTGACAATAATATAATATACATACTAAATAAAATTGTATCAAATTTAAAACTACACAATATTAATTTGGTTGACTTATTTTATTTCTCACATAGTTTATCCATATTATGTATAAAATACTTAATCACGGAAGTTTAGTTGACAATATTTATTGAGGCATTTAGAGTACATAAAAACGTGTTTGAACTTATGTATTACGTTCAGGACCACACTATATTACCGTTAAATACTAACGGTCAACGGTGGTTCAACAAAACAAAACAAAACTATATGTGGGTAGGAGGGGGGAGGCTATAAGGGAATTGGAAAAGGACTCAAGAGCTGTACCCACAAAAAGCCATTTGAAAAGATATCTTTTCAGACGTCGACGTCGGCAACATTATTAATTAATATAACTGAAAGGCACGACACACCACATGCACGTTTCAGGCCCGTCATGGGGGCCAGAGTTTCTAAAACTATAAGACGTGTGCACTTACGCGTATTAAAGTGAGCTACAACTATTTTACACTTAAATCGAATATCAAAAAATGCGCACCGGACGCAAAGACAATAATATTATTTCGTTAACAAAGAGTGTTAAGGTTTAGTTTAATAAAAAAAAAAAAAGCTCTGTGTACGAAACTAATGATGATGACGATGATGATAACAATAAGTACCTAGGCGTAAGTAGGTATAATGTCGTTCATATCATGCGAGGGTGATGTCTTTTTTTTAAATAAATTATATCGGTGTATGAAATAAATATCGAATGAAACAAGTCTGAGGGTTTCACGATATAATATTAATTAGTTACTGTATGTTTCGCCGACACCACAGTAGGTAGTCCTTTCGGGGCGAGACATTATTTAATTCAATTTTACGTCCTGCTTTAACGCCCAAACGGCATAACTACGAAACGTACATCGTTATGATATGCCCATAAATAGTTAACAACGGGGACGGTAAGGCGAATCAAATAATATATTGTATTAATTATTATTTATGGACAGCCAGGCTAGACCAAACCGAAACCTGCGACTCTGATCCGTCAAAACGCATTTTTCGCTTGTCGTGCAGTTCACGTTCACCAGCGTGTTAATGATTTTAGTCTATTATTGGTTCATTTTATTACGTGTATAACCTAATAGGTAGATATTATTCTGTTGATTAAAAATGCTCAGGTTTAGTTGAATGAAAAATAGCCCCATTTACGACACTAAACACGTCGATGGACGATGATTATGATGATGATTATTATGATAGAAATAGGTAGGTGCCTACATCGTTGATCTCATGCGAGGGTGATGTTTTTTTTAAAAGTTTATGAAATAAATTGTGAATGAAAAAATTGGGTGATGTACCTAGATAAACTATTAAAAATTGCTGTCTTTCTCAGGTCTGTGAAATTAGCGGAAAAATTTGAGAACTCATTTTCACTATAACACCACTATTTAGTGCTCAATTAATGCTATTCAACCATAGAGTTTTAAAAATTAGTAAAAAGCTACATGGGGGCTTACATTTCTCCGCTAAATTCACGGAGCGGGTTCAACACCAGCACCAAAATCCACTATAGCATCGAAATTTAGTGCTCAATTAGTGCTATTTGATGGTACCGTTTTCAAAATTAGTGCTATGTTTCCCTCCAAGTTATGGGATTTTCCATATTTCGTCCCAGCGAGTGCACCATCTGCAATAATTTCCGGCCTGAGATATTTTTTTTAAAATTAAATCTAAGAATTATTTTTAGTTTTGCCAAAAAAATGTATAACATTTAATTTTTTTATTTCAGTAGGCATTACAAATTAAAAATAAAAATCTCATACCACACTAGTAATGCGAGGATCTATAAACTATAAACGAAAAAATGTTTGAATATATTTTACTATAGAACAAAATTTATTTAATCTGTCATCCGCATGTCTTTCTGTAGGTTACACTTTTTATGACACTCTTACCAACTATATTGTCATCAGTGATCACATTATATTTTGTATGGGATGGTTTTGTCTTCATATAATACCTATTATTATATAAGTAAAAATGTTTTGAGTCTTACAATAAGACGCGAGACGCATTTAGCAACCCCTGGTATATATGTTAATATAATTTAAAAATATTAATAGGAAAACTCTGCGGGGAATTATGTTCGATAAAAATATAAAATTCAACCGAGTTTTGATTGTAGAAAAAATCAAATACTACGTTAAATCGGTACGATAATAGTTGCAATATTATTTGCATACCTATGTAGAGCGTCGCATCGGTTGTATAAATTGTACTCAACTGTTATATAAAATAAATGTATAATGTTATGCTTTTATATTGTTTGCTATTAATTCAACATGAATATTTTATTAAACTTAGACACTTTACGGTTTGCAATTTTACATGTATGATTACATAATATTATATTTTCACATAAAAAGTTTATACTTGAAAACGGGAAATTAGGTTTACCCAACCTGTATCATGGCTGTATATTAATATGTATAGTGTATGCGTACCTACACATACGGTTTCAACGGAAATCATTAGCATTTCGTTAGCCACGCGCATAAAACTCCGTGTCGAATAAATTGACCCAGATTAGATTTGTTCGTGCATATATTATTACATTATGCGCCTTATAAAAGTGTAATAAGGTAGTTTCTAAAATATTATTATAATAATATGAGAGCATAGGTAACACAAGACAACTGAATAATATTCTTATATGTGTGTTTGATGACAACTAAAAAAAAAAAAATGGCCATCGTGATATTATTGTTCTTCGCATCAATGCGTGCAAAAATACAATTTATCGTAAGCAGATCAATTTAAATACGACTTCAATGATTTTTGTTTTAAGCACACCCCAAGTCATGTTGTTTTTAAATCATAAGAGTATAGTTTGTGTTAAAAAGTTGACATATACCCTAAACAAAAACAAATTTAAATAATATAGGTACTATCAGACATGAAAAATGTAAATCATATGTCATAAATTCATAACTTAACAATATTATAGGGACATACGACTAACTTAACTAGGTAACTATAGTGTGGTACAGTAATAATATAATATTATTTGTACAAAATAGATATAATTCTTGGTTCCATATAAAGACTGCTATAAATATAATATAACTGTGAATTTTTTAGGTAAAATTTTGGAGGATACTAGAATTTATTGACTTGGTTTTTCTGGTACTTATCTCATAAGACGTATGCTACATTTTTGGCTAGTTGATACTTGTTTTATTATAGTTTGTGTATTTGTTTTTGTTTTTCTCATCTCATTTTGGAGCAATAAATTGTATTCAAAATTCGTTTTCGAGGTGGTTTCAAAAAAACTATGTTTATGGACCAATTATTAAAGTAAACAATTTTCAGTACTTTTGAAATAAAAAAGACGCCTACGCAAAAAGAAAAAATATGCAAAACCACTTTTTAAGGAAAAGCTAGTTGTATTGAGCCTTAAAATCTTCATAAAATAATCGATTATAATATTGTCTAGACATTACATAATTTAAAACTACTTTGACTCAACACATTGAATTTTTTTATAATCATTTAAAGTTTTCAATGTAAATATAAAATGAGTAATTTTAGTAACAATGGAATGTTTCAAGTTGCTTGGTTTATAATTTTTTTTGATTACAAAAAATGTAACAAAAAATGTTTAAGGAAAAATCGTTATTTTACTTGTTAATATCTAATGTTGATAATATTTCAACTTCAAGCACTTAGAAAAAGTTGTATGTTGCTTTACCGTAATTTTTTTTTTTCAATTACATTTTAAATACTTATGAGTAGTCTTGTATTACATTTTTCGTGTCAAATGTATTAAAATTCAAAATTTATTTCTAAAATCATAATTTTCAACTACAATATTATGTTGGGTACAAATTATAATATCGGGATTTTGTAAACATTTTCCCTTTACAGTATAACACTTTAAAAAAAACATATTAAGTAGTGACTACGATTTTTAATTATTTAAAACCAACATCAATGATGAACCCTTGTTTTGATTTTTTAAGCTTTTTTATTGATACCCAGGTATATACAGTTCATTAGTAGAAACAAAACTGAAAAACTACGTATATAAAATACGAATATTTGAAATGTTTATATTAGTTAAATAGCACAAAAATAATCAACGTTTTTTTTACACATGTCATAATGATTATAATATTATCTACTAAAATAAATAATATTTCTTGAAGGTTTGAAGTTTCTACAGTAATTAATTTTATAATTCCAACATAAAACAATGTCGATTTTATAAAACCTAATTTATTTTTGTTTTTTTCGATTATTTTAAAAAGAGACCTTTTTATATTTTTATTATATTATATCATCATTTAAGTGGAGAATTAAAGACATTTTACTGCTCCTACAGAATCAAAAATATTTGAATTAAAAAACACTAATTATTGTAAAATAAATACACTCATAGCTCCAATCAGAAGTCACAATAAAAAAAATGTTAAAGTTTTTGCTTTTATATCATGACTTTTGTGTTTCTAGAAATCACTCCACGTTGTCAAATGATTTCACGAAATTAAATTGTCTACATCTGTAACCATAGGAACATGTAGGTATATAATTTATCACGAGAGCAGTGATAATAATAATATATGCGTTAATATAATATTACATATCGAAATAATGGCCGTCTCGGGCCAACCACTGACTGCGATACTAGTACCTATATATTATAGTAATGATAACAATAATTATTATTAATAATAATAACGATGATGCCGATGAATGTGTGACGCGTAACACTACGTATTATAATACATTATATATAATACAATTATATTAATAATATAATTCGCCAGAGTGCCGGACGGATGTGCAGGGACTCGGATGCGAGAGGATTCCGCGGACGTCCATTATTCGAGATAAAAGCCAGTCGGGGCCGGTTCGAGTGGGCGTCCGTTGATTTATCCGCCACCGCCGGACTGGTCGTAATTGACGTCGTCGGTATTAATCAATCTGCCGCGGGCACTCGTCGAGAACATCCGTCGCGTGGTCCGCGGAGCCGCCGGGTCCGATACACCCGCCACCCACATCACCCACACCGCGTCGGTACACGACTACGACCGGTGGCTCTCGACCAGGCCGGTTTTCGAGTTAAAGTGATCGCCCCGTCAATTACACAACAACGGTGTAACGGATCGATCGCGATCTATAATAGAGCACTGTTATAATAGTACGATAATGTCGTCGGTTCTCGGATAATATATTGAAACAGGAACACGATGGCGAACATTTTGACTTGGTATACCGCGGTGATGGTATAACGATAATATGGACCAGACAGGTATTTTGCGAACCGTTTAAGTGGCGCGTCTCGGCGATCTCAGGGATTCTTTTGCAAGCTTTTGATGATTCGGTACATCCGATTCAACCGACAAAGTGTATCACGAAGCGTTCTATATAAAATTCCTATGCACATACTATATAGGATTGCCTGTAGGTACACTAATAATATGGAAATGTATTACATTTTTTACCTATAATATACACTTTTTGTATACAAAATAATAATTAATATTGAAAGGATGACACCTATATGAAGTAGTCCTTAGCAGTCAAAAGTTCAAAGTAAAAGCACTGCAGCGTACCGCTGACTTTCGATCCTATAAACCACCACTTCGGGACACGAAAAGCGCGACTAGGACCACCCTCTTACCTTACCCGATCACGTGAGAGTTGGGAAGTTGGGGCCGAGCTGGTGATACGTGTACTGACCGGCTGTAAGTGACAAGACTTGCATTGGTGACGCGGATATCCGGCCACGTTTACCAACCATCACGAGGGATTGGTCATACAATTAGTATTTTCGTTCTAATAAAATCTAATATCCATTGTACATTGAATTCTGCATATTTTGGTGTTTGTATTAAATCACATGGTGATAAATTCTCACCTGTCAAACGACACCGACTTTGAAGAGACGAAGACCAACGAATAGTCATCGCAGTCCGCCTAACCTAATAATAATTACAATATTAAGAAATTCGCCAAACGAACGCATAATAATATTATTATATAGGAATCGAAGCTTATCCGTTGTTTGATAAAAAAAAAACTTACCTTACTTGGCACCATTTGTAAAGATAAGACTAAAACACCACCACAATTTAAAATCACGAAAAATCGCCATGAATTTAGTTCTTATTTTTTAAAAAAGAAAGATCTTGTTTCATATAAACCCGAGAACAACAAAATAGAGTTTCTATTATCCACAGAGCACAATGATATTTCAATCGATAGTAGAAGATGGGTGGCAAAATCCAAACATTATAACGATGTATTATGATGCAATTAAAGACTCTGAGTGGATACAATGGATAAGAAAACCGAGAACTTCACTTTGACACCTTGATATATAGCTTGGTCATTAGTAGTTTTCTTTTATTCAATGCGAAACATCGGTGGTCTAAATGCACAAATAATTTTCCAAGGAAATACAACAACGAGCAAAACAAGACTATTACTTTTTAAGACATAAGCTCGTCAATTAATTGCAACAACTAATAGAATATCGTTTAACATTGGATTTTTTTTTTTGAAACAAATAAAATTAAAACGAAAAAGAATATGGCAAAATAACAAGACTTGACGTGAGAGAAATACAGCGTGTACGGTCGTAACATCACTCAAAGACTTAGTTATAATTTTCAGATTTTTATCGTAACACGGCACTAACACCGATGGTGATCTTACATAGTCACTAACAGAATTTTTCGTTTAAAAGTATTAATTTAATACAGCAATATTTAAATGGGAAAAATATCTAAGTGTTCATTGTCAAGTTGATTTTATTTTATTAAAAGGGCGCCTCCATTCAGTACAATTGACAATTGTTATCAGTTAAACATATTTCTTATCTAATTAACGCCCTTCTTACAGATTATGGATCTAATTTTTCTGAAAATGTTGATACCAAAAAGTCAATTTCGATTTTTTTTTTAAGGGTTAAGCAGTTAAGCACGCCCTTTCAACAAAATACTGTCGGCATAATAATTATAGAATATGAGTTTATATCATAATATACATTTTATACTTTTCTTGTTCATTTTTTGCATTCTATCGAAGGCTTAGGTATTTTATAGATCGTAGGATTAAACATTTTGCTGGTGTGACACATTCAAGGTATAAAACTATAAAAGGTCCCGTAGACTTACATAAATAACTCCACAAAATATTTTATGTATTTTATAATAAAAAAACTTTTTGTCGAGACGTTACACACGTCACACACACAAACACAAGCACTCGGTGTTTTCTACTGGTATAATCTCGGAGATAAGTAGACGATAGACGTACAATAATATTGTAATAATAATAATATTTTATACTTTTACCTTTCGTCCGGTCCCGACCCGTGGACTGCAATAATTCGAATGCGCCGCCGACGACTGCTAAAAGGCCCCGCACGACACTTGCATTTTAATACCATTACTGTGCCGACGGATTCGAGGGAGCGGGTCAAATTTTTGGGGTCTGGACGTGGTGGCGAGGGCGGTGTGACCGACGTCGGTGAAGGGGGGTGGTGATGGCAATTACTTTAAAAGGCCAACACAAAAATCCCGGTCCTCCACACGCTGTGATGCGTTCTATCAGTTTTAATTCGCCCGTCACGCCAGGGCCAAGGGAGCCTGCGGTTTAATACGGGTAGACTGCTTCGGGGGGTGTGGTTTTTTCTCTCCCTCACAAAGCTCAGAACCATAGTTCCGTTGGGCATTATACTTACATAATATTATTATTGTGTAGCTTGAAGTAATATTATCATAATATGTTATCGCATACAAACGGGAATCCACAAAAATTAGGTGGGTACACAGAAAATGTGAAATGGTTGTGCACGCGCAAAAAAATACAAGAGATAAAAAAAAATTGTAATCCACACGAATTTATGATCCAATTGTTTAGTCGCATGTGCTTCAAACGGAATCCAAAAATGTATTTAGGGTAATGAGTAATACAAGTAACTGAGTTATAGATTGTACCCTGTTTTTGTGGACACCAAATGTACCCTAATTTTAAATAGACAGTGTAGTATACACAATTATAATAATATTTAATGTTTAGATTTGTAATACATATATTTAAAATTAAAACAGAATATAAAATCAATAGTTATATAAGGTATAATATGTACTATCATAATATGATAATGGATAATGACAAACAATGACAATGAGTTAAGTATAAGAATATATATAATATTAAACTATATGAATAAAATATACAATTATAATGCACAATACTATGATAATAGTCTTAAACAGTTATAATTGTGATGAAAATTCATTGAGAGATAAATTGAAAAAATGAGATCTTTTTTAATTTTTTTAACATTACATTACGTGTATAAGCTGTATACATCGTTGTAGATGCAGTCGTCTGCGAACGACCTGATTACGGGGACGTCGACATATTTAATTATAGTTAACCACCGTTAAATACAACTATTAAAAGTCGTGAATACTAACAAAAGTCGTCCTGCGAGACGAAGAAATTTTTAATTTGTTTTTTTTTCTCTGGTCGGAATATATGAACGGGAAACCAAAAACATAAAAACGAAAGAGCCAACGCGAAATTTTCCGAAGCCTAACGCCATCCCACTTGTTTGGTTGGATCGGTGGAAAAATTGATGTGCGTTTAATTATCAAAGTATTATTTTTTTTTTCCTTTCCAGCTTGCAAGACCAATAAACGATTCTCATCCGTCAGCTGATAAAATTGCCATCGCAAAGTCCCTATCGGAAAACGCCAATGGTTACGAGTTTTACACTGTTGGTATAATAATAATAATAATAAAAATAATAATAATAAAGCGTGTTTAAGAACCTCGAACGAATACAAAAAATGCTAACGGAAAACAATAGCCAGAAATTCGAAGAAATACGACTTGTTTGCTGAATTTTGTTCTTTAATTCAATTGTTTTTTTTCAACTATTATTATAATCGATTGGGTATTGCGTAGGTATAGATTAAAACTTTCGGCATTAACTCTTTCTTTTTGACTTCTTAATTTTAACACAAATCTAAACCGATATCTACGGTCACATAAATTACTATCGTTTAGGTGTCTGGATAATTAAGAAGTATACACCATATTTAAATCAATATACGTAAGAACAATTTTAAATAACAATTTATTTTGAAACAACTATTGGTGCCATAATACCATTGTAATATTGCACTAAAATTAGTTTTAATTATGTATACATACTTCTTAGATTTTACTGTTTTTGCTTAATTTAATCTACAGTTATGATTCTATAGAGATTATGCCTTATACGTTGACGTTGAAGTTATAAAATGATACTCAGTGAATTCAATCAGATTTAATGATAATAATTATTATTATAACGTAAAATATTTAATTTCAAGTATTTATTATTGAAACACGTGTATCGGTTGTATATAGTTTGTATATATTATATTGTATGATATGTTTAATACGTCCTGTGCGAAATTATTCTTTTTTTCCATTTTTCTATTGTCTATAAAAATATTATGTGCCTATACCTACCTACTACAAATTACAACAACAACAGAGTTGGAGAAATGACCAATTTATCTACAATGAAATATTATTATTTCATGTTAGGTATGTTATTTTTTCTAGTGTTTTGTGATAGTGTACATAATATAAAGTCTTTTATGATTTTCATCATTTATTTTTATTTTGTAACTTATATATAGTTATACTTTATAGAACCTATCTTTCATCAAATAATTATTAAACATTTTGTTTATTATAGTAACGAAATGTGAATAATTGTACAAATGTTTATTCTCCATAATATTACGAATCATACATATTATGTAGGTATATAATTTATGGTCTTTTCAAATTAATTTTAAAGACGTTTAGGACTTTTCAGCTCTGCTTTTATGGATTTATCGTTTCGGCGATGTTGTATATGCGATAATAGTATGTGCAGTGGTGACAATGATTTTTGTAAGTACCTACATTTGTTACATACATTACTACATTAGTCATATTGTTTTAATTCCTTATAAATCATATATTTGTTGTTTATTAAATTATCTATATAAATAAAGAATAATAAAGAATCATACATTATTACTTTAAAGTGGTAATCAAAGAAGAATTAAAAAAAAAAATATAAATTAAGATAAATACTAAAAATTAAAAACATTACAATTATTCATGGTTAGACAAAAGC